CATTTTATGCCGTGACAAAGGTCACTTAAGGCATTTCAGTTTCTCTGTAAGCTCAGAGACAATTAACGCTCTAGTAATCAAACAGTTCCCAATATTACTGGCACAAAGGCAGGTGGCATAGTGCCAGATGACACTCTGTAAATGCTGACTGAAATGCTGAATTGACAGTATAGCCTTTTTTCTTCCAAATGAGTGACTTTCTCTAGTAGGAGAAAGCAGGCCAAACTGAATTGCAAGGTAAAATGTCTGTTGTTGTTTTTTAAACAAACTTTAAAATATCATGGTAAACTATAAAAAGTACATACTTTACAACTATAAAATAAAAAGCACACAACTGAACACTGCTTGATTCCTATTTCTGGTACTGGTGGAAGACAAATTCCCGTTTGGATTGTATCATTTTGATTTCATTGTCCTGTTTTTCTAAAGTCCCCTGCAGTTCACCGATATAGAGAGCTTTCTTGTTGCTACAGCCCTTGCAACTCTTCACAGTTCAGTCACATGGCCTACTTTGCATCTACCAAGAATAGAAACTGATTTTGCGTGAACTTGGCGTTAGTTTTTCTTTTTGCGGCAGTTTTGTTTTCTAAAATGACACTTGATTTTTTATGAAGGAAGAGGGACTTTGACGAGTTCTTTGCTGATGTCTTTACGGCAACGCCACAAAAACCTGACATTATCAGCCGATGTTCAGAAGGGCTCTCACTGACTACGAGTCAAATCCAGATTTTACTGTACCTTGCAAAGTTAAAACAAACTGTCGCTTATTCCAAGAACAATGATTGCTGTTAAAAGAAAAAAATAGGTCAAACAGACAAAGACATCACCTTTGAGATGCACACATTCTTAACTCCTAAATACAGGCTAGATTACCCCTTATTTTGCTTTTTGTTTTTCCTGTATAAGCAAAAGAGCCTAAGGAACCCAAAAATGGATCATCTAGTGTAATCAATAAGACAACATCCAACAATGGAATAGGTTTATTCCACTCTGAAAAGAGAAGGTTACATTTCTGTGGAGCTTTCTTCGGGTGTAAGCACGAAACCACAGCCAAAACATTGCTTTCTTCTCTTTTCAGCATGGAATAAACCTACCCACCCGAACAACATCCAACAATCTCAGCAACAACAAAAACACTGATTAATAAAAGCATACAGATGGAAATTGAGTGAGACCTGACACCCAGGTTGAAGGCTCCTGGTTGGAGGGTGACCTGTATATCAGTCAAATTCTTACCAAAAGCCCCAATAATTAAAACAGTGGTAGGTCTCTGTCTGGCTCCTAAGCAGGTACCACCCTAATCACTTCTCCACACAAATCAAAGAAAAATGCTGAGTCGGAATTCTCGGCCTGCACTGGGAAGGTCAGGATTCGGGCCTCTCCTCTTATTGAAGATCAAGCCTCAAAGACAGTGCAGGGCAACTAAAACAACTTTGCTTCTTGCCAGACAAAACATTCGTCGAGCTCTTTTTACTACGGGGAATATGGGACACTTGCTGTGTCATGCAGCCAATGGTGAATTACTACGAACAAGCCTTTTTCCCACCACGAAGCATGGGGAACTGTTGCTCCTGAGCAAAATTAAATCGAATAAAAAAAGGGGAAAAAATACAGATATCTAAGCAGAGAAATATTTTAACCTAAGAAATGCAGACGAGTTGAAATCATGTTAACATGATACCTACATGGAAAGATGGAAAATGAAGCATTTGTATAATCTTAATATAATAAATAATTATAATCCTAACAGTACAACTAATAAACTGGTTTAACAATAAAACTTGTGAAAATATCTATTTTAATCAGTGCCAAGTCTCTTGCATCACCTTAGTTCTTAGTTCTGACCGACCCAAACCAACACCAGGGTGAACAGTCCAGGTCTTCAGAGACCTCCGGATCCTAATCTCAGAGTATCTGATTTATCTCCCTCTAGTGGGAAGGTTATTTGTTATACAGGTGAAACACATAACCTTGGTAGATTTTCTTCATTGTTGGAGACAATCTTCAGTTCCAACAACCCAGAACACACCTGAAATACCACAGAAGACCTCAATATGATAAAACTTTTAGATTTCCACCAATTCTCCACTTGGGGAAATAGAAATACCAATCTTTTTTAAGTTCTGAAAAAGACAGTTCAGCTCCCACACTGTACAGTATATGACTATGGACAATCCTTCAAATTAATTTGTTTATCTCTGGCCTGCTAATAAAAATAGGGTTAACCACGAGGCACTACAAAAACTGCAATTACAGAGATATTAGTAATTTGCTCAACATTTACTTCAGCCATGGAGAGATTTAGCAGTTAAGAAACATTCAGGTTTATTTAGGTGGGTATGCACATTTTTTCTTGACCATTTCCAGTTTTTATATTTTTCTACATTACACAATACTTTCATGAACTCTTCAAGAAAAACAGGACATACATTATACATGTTAATAAGCCATTGCCAATCTGATTTTATTGCAAGGTACAAGTTTATAAAAACTGACCTGCTTGATGTACAGAACTATTACTGAATTGCTTATAAAATACATTTCTCATTTTGTTGAGCTGTGAAATAGTAGCTATTCAAAACTGCCCAGGCTTTTAAATATAGGTACTGGGTCTAACAATAACAACGAGAGCTAAATTGTTATTTTACTAATTATATTTGGAAACTGCAAAACATGAATATGTCATGTAATGAAAACTGAGGAAGAAATATAAACACAGCTGGATTGCAAGCTTTATAGAGGAACAACCAGGTTACCAGCGTACTTAAGAGCTCATGCCTAGGAAGAGAAACAGGAAATGAACTCTAGTATCCCCTAAGCAAATGATAGAAGATATTCTATTTTCATAATATGGTCTATACCCTGCAGATATTAGGATTCACAAATATGAAATAAAATGTCATTTCACCACAGAAAAACTGGATGATCTGCCAGCTATGATGAAATCTGAATCACAGTGCCTGTAACTATTCCTTACTATTGTCAAAATATAAGGATTACATAAACTTGCAGACTGTCTTTTGAGGATCCACAACGTATATTTGTTCACTTCTGAATAGCGATCACAGTGCTAGGCCTTAATTGTGCTTGAGAGATCAGAGCAATTACTAAATCTTCAAGATCTGGAAGATGCAAGTCCATTTCTCAAACAAAGGGTTTGAAGACCGAACCTAGTTTGATAAAAGAAACAAAACGTGTTAACATGGCGTATGGATAAACTCACACAGCCTTGGCCTGTGAGGGAGGAAAGGCTATAGTGAACGATCATTCCTCACACTCCACTTCCTGGGCCTGTTTCAGTTTGGTAACATGAAGCATTTCAAAACTGTATTTCAGACTGATGGAAACAAACGGAAAAAAAAACACAAAACATAAATCAAATGGATGACTCAATATGTTCCTGAGTGCAGTATAGATGCTGCCATCTTTTAGTATGGTATACAAACCGAAGTCATACTGCGAGCGAATTTATTGTGTTATTACTAGAGCCACTAAGTACACATTTTCCCCATCATACACATTGCAAAATCTTCACATACTTTTTAAATAGTTGTATTGTACAGTTTTGCTTGTAACAGCCTGACGTTGCAGGCTATATATCCAGTCCTAACAAGTTCTAATTAAAATGTATATAATTTTACTTACAGAAGAATTACAAACTGAAACAGAGGACATTTAATGTGTAAATGTTATGTACAACGATGGAAATTAACATTTTGTTCTAATAACCTGTCAAATGCAAAGTACAGAATTACACAGTATTGTGACTTTACAAATCAATTACACATACTGTAGTTTCCCAGTGTTACGGTCTCCCATACGGTATGCAACTAATGGGAAAGGTCATAAATTGCAAACCTGATAAATTCTTGAAATAAGAACAGCTAAAATACTTAATATTTTAAAAGATCCCTATCTTATTTATTACACTTATTATTGGATATTTATTTTATTCCACTGGGTATGAGGATGAATACAGTATAAAACGAAAAAGATTTTTCAGAATCACTTCACTTTTGCAGCCGAGACAATTAAATGAATAATACCATATTCTAAGGGTTAAAAACATGAAAAGGTAACCATGTGCGCAATGATTTATGTTGCTTTACCGCAGATTACAGTATATTAAAATGCTGAGACACACAAATAACTCTGCCATCACATTTTATGACAGAATTGGTCAATGCTTTGCAACTACTACAGCTCGAAAACAGTGTCCTAGTCACCTCACAATCGACCTGTCACTGTATTTTACCTCTACGCTTTGTTTCACCTGTTGTTAATTAACCTGCGTATTAACTAGGGCCACACAACAGCCGCACGATACCAGAGACTCGCACAGGTCGCCTCTGCTCACACTCCTCCGTGGTATACCAATCAAATCAGAGATCAAAGTTTAGATTTAAAAAAAGAATCCCGTAAACAGCAGCAGAGAAAAAAAAAACAAAAAAACAAGTTTAACCATTAAACTCTCAATCAATATTACAATATTTATTTTTGTAATGGTAGCATATATCTTCTGGAACTGGTACCGTATGTCGGACACATTTGGTGTTGGACAAGATCGCAGTATCTGTAACAGGCTGTACCGTGACAAAATGTACAGTATGTACATCATATAATAAATTAAGACGGCATATAAATACCGTGCAGATCGCAGCTGCACGCCACATACACACATTTGAAAGAAAAATATTCAGCGCAAATCCTTTCACTTTACATCGCATAAGAGGTCCGGATCATAAGGTATAAGCTCATATCATTACATTTGTGTTGCTGCCCTTGTCAGAAGGTTGACAGCAGTTTCTTAAACTTCACTACAGTATGTTCTCCCTGCAGCGCAACAAGTCCTATTAACAGCAGCGTCAGTGATCTTGGTTACATCGGTCCTCACGTTATGTTCATTGCAAAGACATTGTGCTTGCCAAGACAGTAACTCAATCGAAACATTAAACAAAAAAAAAAAACAGGTTAAATACTGTATGAAAAATGCACCCTACCTCTTTTTTTCTTTTTCAGCGGTCATGGTGGTCGAAATAGCACTGAACACGTCCTTTATCAAATCCCGTGTCCTCCAGAAATTCCAGCGGTGCTTTTGAAAAGTTTTCACAATAGAAAAAAAAATAATAATGGAAAAAAAAAACTACCGAAAAAAAAATAGCTGCTAGCTAACGGTAATGATGAAAGGAGAACGTAACTAATAAACACTAGCAATATCCATTTATAATGAAGAGAGACCTTTTGTCATCGGGAGGGGGGCTATACAGTCTCAGAACACTGCCGAGGATTGTACAGCCTCTCTCTTACTAACAAGCAGAAATCTGGAAAGGCTGGTGCTGCGCTGTAAGGTTTCTGTTTTCAGCCCTCTGTCAAAGTTGTTTCGCTGAGTTTTCGCACTGGGAAAGTTCCAGCCCTTGTCCCCCGGCCACTGTTCCCTGCACTCAGCTGGACTGCTGACAGCAAGTTAATGTGCGCGCCGTGATTGGCGAGCACCCAGCCGAGACCCTCCCTCGGCAGACACACACACACCGCCTTTGCCCCCGTCTTCCCCGGGCCGTGGGGGCGGGACAGCGCTATAGGTGAGCTCATTTGCTGTCGGCTCTGTGAGGTACGGTACGCTTTTCACTTCAGCCTCGCCGCAGCGAAGAGTTGCGCCTCATCATTCAATTCGCCCGCCGGCCGGAGTTCGCAGGTGCACCAGGTCACTAATCTGGGTGTTCTGCTTTCCTCGCATGCGGGAGTTATCGCCTGCAACCTGGGTTATCTCCGTTTAGCCAAGAGGGGCTGTGTTATGGATGCCAGTTTCTTTTCACTTACTGTAAAACGAGTTTCACTTACTGTTAAACGCGTTGAACCAGATTCTAGAAATACGATTTAAAGAAGAATAGAATGATAGAAGAACTATAATTATTTGTAAAAATCGCCTTATTGAATCAGAGGGCAATAAAAGCATTTGACTAAATTGTGATTAAGCGAAGAAGTAGCAAGGACCAATTCATATCTGGATGGCAGAACGAAATGGAAAATAAAAAAAAAACACTGAAAAACCCACATCGTAGTGTGACATCCACTGTAGTGTCAGAATGCTACATGCAGATCTTGAAAGGTGCAGGGATCCGATTGTTTCATAGCAAAGCGGTCTGTGATATTTTATTTGTAAATACTCTTCAAAATAGTTTAAGTAATTTAAATGCTTAACTAGAGCAATTGTTTTATTATTCACATTGTTTTCACAAAATGTTATTTGAAAGTATTTAAACTATACAGTTATACCCAAATACATTAGGAATAGTCCAAAAAAATTCTAAATGATGTTCAGTACTACATTTTCAAATGATCACTTGATGGTTTAGAAATATAACAAAGGAGTAGCATGTTAATACATGTTTATTTAAACTTCATAACTCAGATACAGGAATAAATAAGACTTGAGTCCTATACTGTATTGAAATGAGTCCTATACTGTATAATATAAATTGTAAGCCTCATACTGTATATAAGATTGTATTTCAATTCCAAAATAAAATATCTGGTTGGATGGTAAATATTTTGACTATTGTTCCTAAAACAGTTACATTGATTAAAATTATAAGAATCACAAAAGTCAACCAACTGTTGTTCCATAGCATTGATGACTTTCGTGAAGGTTTTGAATCACTAGTAATTAGGTCTAACAGGGCAGCAGTGAAGGGTGTCTGAGTTTCTGGGATCCAACAGAGAAGGATCTCACTGTCCTGGCAGACATGGAGAAGACTGTTAGCTGCACTCTTCACTGCAACTACAGTACAAACAGGTGGGCTGACAAGAAGGCAGAGAGCTTGTTTTTCTTAGCAGTGGCAGGCTGGGGAGGTTGTGGCGCTAACTCCTGCTGAAGAAAGGGCAATGACTGTCACTAGCTGCTTTGTGTAGCCTTAAAGCAAAGATCTAGAAGAGCTGCAGGCTTGTAGACTGCTTTAAGACAGGCAATGTACCGTGCAATGAACCTGCTCAGGAAGGTTCTGCATCTGATGTTAAGAATGACATACTGTACTGTAGCTATCAATAACATTGAAAGAACCATAGACGAGGAGAATAGTGGTTTTGGAATGGTCACAGGTTCATAAAGGCATTGGACATCCGTTTTAGTGAGTTTAGAGTCATTGGATCTCTCTTTTATTGAGTTTCGTGAATACACTGATCTGTGCTAGTTTCTTTTGTTCAGCTCTTAAGATGTAGCGTGTCATTTTGAGATGTGAGTGTCAGAGTACAGTAGTACCTCATCCAGAATGTGAGCCGCAGTGGTCGACTTGTGGGTTTAGGACACCAGGCACCACGCTTGCGCAAGGTGGGAGAGATTTCTGGGATATTGAGCACAGGATTCACGATGGTGGAGGAAATCAAGCGATTTCCCCACGTCAAAATATTTGTGTTTTCTGGAATATAATTAATTAAGGACTTTGCTGTGTGCAATGCTATTAGGATTAAATATTTTATTTTAAATGTTTTAAAATGTTAAAAAAATAAAACAGAAAAATCCAATTTGCAGTTGCTTTCTTATGCAATGGTTTTAATCTTTCCTAACTAGGGCTGTTTATACATATGCAAGTCACTGTATTAATACAAATGCTTACATAAGAAATCTTCTAAAATAGATTTTCCTTATTCCTTCATTAACAATGGTTAATTGATAAGTATATCGTCTGTAAAGACAGTATTTTTCATTGGTAGTATTAAAGGCAATACTACCACTTTGTACAGTATATTCGTGACACACCCTTATAATTTGTATTGCAACAGTACCAGAGCAGTATAGAACAATATCTTCAGTTATTTAGAGACATATGAAAAGCAAGTATTTTATTAAATACTTACCCTCAGATACACTTGAAGAGCTGAAAGTTTTTTTTTTAAACCAAGTTGCCAACAAGATGTTTGCAGTGCTTCCTTTGAATTTGTCAGCAGTATTTTCTGGAATAAGGAAAAGTACTGTATTGCAGCTTTAGAGCTTTACTCCTTTATGGAAGAGTAGTAGAGCACCCAACATTATTGGAAGGTATATACAGTATACATTATATACAGATTTTTTTTTTTTATTGTGGTTGAGAGCATTTTTTACCCCCAAAAAATAAAAACATGATTATTTCAATACAGGTACAGTATATAAATCATTGTACAGTGTGAAACAATGAAGGCTCCTAACAATACTATTTTGAGAATTTGTCATACATCTGCAATCATAATGTTTATCTATTTTTCATAGATTTAAATTATTTACCTACTGAACAAAAACATGCAAACATTTCAAATAATTGCTCAAATTAAATCAAATTTAAAAAGAGCAGTTTCCAGGCGGAAAGTGAGTGGTAAAGGTTTGAATCTTAACATCTTGGGACATATCATTTAGCTTTCATCATCATTCATTATCATTATCGCATATTTATCAACTATCCACAGATTTGTCCTAGGTCTTCTGAGAATTAACTTTGACTGCTCATAAACTCTTTAAAAACAACACCAAGCTAGTTATTGCTTTAATGGCAAAGTTTAGATTCTAATAAATTCAGTGTAATAATTAAGATACTTTATGCTAAAATTCAATGTTTAGTATTCTAATGTATTTCAACTATTTTACAAACATTAAGATATTTTTAACCATAGTTTTGCTTTTGGATCTGAGTTCACCTAATTACGAACAACATTTACCTTCTGGGATTTTGTATTAAACTACATTCAATTACTATTTCATTATTCTAAAAATAATTTCTGCTTAATGTATATAATTTGTTCAAACACTAGTTACTTTTCACTACTTACAGTATATTTGAAATTATATTTACCCCAGTAAGATAATACTATATTTAATGTCATTAAATAACAACAATAAAATAATTTCAGCATTGGCCATTTTAGTTTAAAACCCACTATTAACAAAAACATTATGTGTTACACTCAATATGCCCATGGTTAGAAAAATGTTGATTATTGTACAGTAAAATAAGGGTAAAGGTTTTCACAATCATTTTTGACAACAGCAGATGTTAGATGTAATGATTCACTTAAGCACATTGCGTATTTTAACATTTTTTAAACTACGAATGATTTGGTTTCCAGGAATACGGTATACTGTACAAAACAGGGAAACAATATGTCTACTTCTGTCTGAAGGTTTGCAATGTTTTACTTATGCAGGCTTTAAAAACTTAAATCACATATGGAAAATACTGTTACAATTCCTCAGGAAGAACGCGTAAAATAAAACTCCCTTGTATTTTAGGAAATGAGCTGTAGCCAAACATTTTACAATACAGTAAGTTTACAAGCTTTTCATATAATACTGTATCATTATCATTGAAGATCAAATCAGCGTTAGGTCACTGAATTTAATTGCATTTATTGACTAGTGAAGGCATTACAGTTATACAAACTCAATTACGATTTCTATCCACAGACTTGGGAGTTTTATTTAAACCATCAGTTATGTTATTTCTGATCAACTGATTAACAACATCATTTTGAAAGACGTCAACATTACATACACATTACTGTATGTACTGTACATTGCAGCTAACACAAATGGGTACGATATTTGGAATATGTTTATGTCACTGCCAGGGAGTTGCAAAACTGTTCATGACTAATGTAGGAACATCCATAGAAGATTCATTTTTTTATATAAATCAGGCTAAATTTGTATAGTTGTCGTGTGGGGAGTTCTTAGCTGATAAAAAGGGCGAGAGGAGCTGTACCCTTCTATTCATACGATTAAATGATTCGCAGTAAAAGCCAAAAAAACGGTAATAAGGCTGAATGAAAGTTGAAAACGTGCACATGAACAACACAGATTGCCTTGACATATAGTAAAAACAGGGGTTTGAAAAATAAACTGTAAAAGTACATCATGGCAAAGGTGACAATTTTATAATCCAGTATTGAGGACATTTTTAATAGAAGAAATATTCATAGAATCCTGCCCATAGACGATGGTCAATCTTTTTATCTGCAACAGTAGCTGTAGCTTGTAGTGCTCAGCTAATTGACAACAGTGCTACTCTTTGGCTGCTTACTGCTTTTATCTAAAGCAGATTAAACAATTAATGTATGCCAAATAGATTTTCCTGGAAGCCTTGAATTTTATGCTCTCTGCGTGACGCCAAGTAAGTTGCGAATCTGGATGACACTCGTTAAATGTGCAACGTTACAGTAAATAGCCAATTTTGGCATTTGTTTTCACTCTGAAAGCACCGAGCTGTTAAGAAACCCGTCAGTCAACAGACCGAATGACTGAACTGGAATGCAACGTTAAAAAAACTTAATATGAGTTTCACAAAATGGGAATCATCGTAAAATAAAAACCTTTTACAGGAAACATTAGACAACAGTTGTTGTAAGATATCCCAAATGGGTTAAACAGTTACCTTTATGACATATTTATTATAAAAGTGACGCTGTATTAATCCACAATTGGTCAAAGAACTTTTAATACCGCACTTGTTAACGCCC